GCGGTCAACATGATATATAGCTGCGGCCTTTCTAAGACTTAATTTTGGGTCATTCTGGAGGGCCTGAAGGGCAAGAATAATCTTAGCTTCATTTGGAGACTCTGGCATATTGGATTGTTGAGAAATATCTGATTGAAAAGTGATAGTGTAGGTTGAGGGATTTTTGGAGCACTCGCTTGTCTGGAGCACTCGCTTATCATGCACGTTATTTGTGTGTTCATGAAGGTACGTGAATGGGCCGGACTTTGTGAAGACAAAAAGGAAGTACCCAAGTGCAAGTTCTTCGGGAGGACTTGAGATTCGGAGACAGTCTACCTCCAGGTCGTTGTGTCTCATTGACTGGTCCGGAGAGTTACAATCGCTGAATGAGCTGTGGGACTCGGGGCTTGCTTTTGCGTTGACACATCTCTGGCGTTGTACTTTCCGTATGACGGCTGAGGTTTGGTCTTTGATCTTGACTGAGTGAACGTCTCGATATCCAAAACAGGAAATTTTCATCCGCATGCATGTTGAACAGGAGGGCTTTTTGAGATCACACTGTAGAGGGTTAGATGTTTAAGAAGAGAACATGCATACGGACCATACCTTTCTGCGCTTCTCTCGACAGGGTTCGCATGCTCGCGAAGGTTTGCCGGAGAAGACCATGATCAGATGACCGGTCTCTTATTGGCTCTTGAAAGCTCTTCGGGTTAGTCCACTCGGTAATTATGTCACTTGCTGTCAGGCCCTAGAGCTGTATGACGGATTCAATGGAGGGTGGATGGGATAGAAAAGGCGAATGTTTCGACGAAATATCGAAGTATTTGGTGATTCCTGGATCTGCTTGCTAGCGTCGAAATGCCCACCAGATTAGGATAAGCTCGTTGTTTGGCATAACATTAGGCCGTTCAGCGATAAGCACGGCTAGTCGGCACCTATCAGAGGCCAAATGCGCTGGAGGCCTTTCGCTAAGGCATTTGATCCTTGCGTCATCTCACCCCAAGGCTCTGCCGAGTGCCGGCAATTCTCTGTCGTTCAACCAAACAACGTCTACCATCTCCGTTTTATTCAAAGTCGAAGCAGCTTCATTCCATTGTCAATGCGTAGAAAGCGAAACCGGAGTCAATTATCTAAGCTAATGGGTCAAGTTCTTCAAAGTGGCGATGCACAATGGGCGGAGTATCAGTTAGTCCATTGCTGATCAGACACTCAGTTGTCAGTTGTGCCTGGTCTGATTCGCAAACACATCCTCGAGCCAATCAAGCGAAACCTGGTTCATCAGCACGTAACCACCGACCTGACAATGAAGTCCAGCTCCCGAAGTCGTCTCAAAGAGATGATACGTCGCCCGACTTCCAAGCTGCTCCGTCAACTCTTTCGCCTGCCCAGGGAAGAACATATCATTCTGACCGTCTCCTACAAAAACAGGCGCCTTGATCTTGTCCACGATGCCCTTCAAGGTGAACCCCTGGGATTTCTCCAGCAACGTGTAGGCCGAGTGAGTCTTGAATGACCACTCTCCCTGATCGATGCCCCATCGAAGAGTCGAAGGCATGCTCGCGTTGTTCTGAACCAGGGCGACCTCTTCGTCAACCTCCTTTTTCTTGCCAGCTTTAAATAGCTCAGTGATGTCCGGTCCAAATTGCTTGAACATTACTTGGCCGAAATCGAAGATCCCGTCGAGGGCGATCACTGCTGCTAGACGATGCTCAAAGGCTGCGGCACGAGGCGCAAGAATCCCGCCAAACGAGAATCCCATTAGCGCAAGCTTGCTGCCATCGACATCATTTCGAGAAAGCGCATAATCAACAATCGGTGTGACGACCCTTTCCCACTCAGGGATGAAGCCAAGGCTTTGGTACCGACGGACGGTTGGCTGTCCTGGTCCCTCATAGACGATAGCATTCATGCCTCGCTGTGTCAACGCCTCGCCCATGGTATGATACAGGTCTTCCATGGAGCCATCATATCCGTTGCCCAGGATGACAGTAGGGCGACGACCAGGCTTGTCCGTCTTGAAGAAGATAGCAGGGACAGTAAAGTTGTCAGCCTGTAGCTCAACGCGCTCGCCGGGAATGGGCAGGAGCTGCATTGCTTTGTCAAAGGCATCGGCCTGCTGCTTCCAAAGCGACATGATCCTAGGATCACTCCAGTTCCCATGCAGGAATGCATCAGCAGAGCGATAGTATGTCGCGGCCCTGAAGAACGCATTTCGCGCAGAAACAGGATGCTTCTTGCAGTCGATTGCTTTTGCTTGGTCGTGAACACGAGTCGCAAGGTCGTAGTACGCTTGATAGTAGCTTTCGAAGTCGCCCGTCTTGATCTGACTCGCCGCGACGAGGATCTCCCCGATATCCGCCCCTTGGTAGGGAGCTGTGGCCAAGGTGGCCATGACGTTGAAGTTGAGGTCAACGTCCGGGATTATTTGTAACATGGTGTCATTCTTGGAGCCGTGACTGCGGCGTAAGTTTATCTCTGATGGAAGGGCATTTGCAACAGCCTGTTGAACAGTAACATTAGTATATGTTGCATCTCCAATAAATACGGGACTTACCGATTGGAGAGATGTCAGAAAGACGAGGAGGGCGGCGTTACTCAACTTCATGTTGATAGTTTTCTGTGCTAGAATAGTGTAGAGGTGTTTGAATAACTCGTTTTGATGCAGCATGAAGGAAATCCGATTGTGCAGTGTCTCGGCCATTTTATACACATTCTTGATCCTTAAATATGAGCATTCACTTGGGGTACTTCAAGAGCTTTCTCTTCCCGTCACTATACGGGCATAGCGGCGTGGGGTGATCGACGACTGCGGACCGTCAGCTTACTAGCCGAAAGTCCCGCCATCTGAAAGCCTACCGTATCCGGCGCGTGTTTCGACGTAATATTCGGATTACCTAGCTCAGGTTGGCACTCGTTACGTCGATTCAGCACTGTGAACGGCTGAGATACCCGGTAAACATCATCGCCTCAGCACAGCCGTATGCTGAATACGCTGGGACAAATCAAACGAGTGACAGGATGCATCTCATGTAGGTCCTGCCTGGCAAGTGGGCTTCTCATCCAGGCACTTGATGTCGCCCGAATCATCAGCTATACAACAACACGCTCGGCAGCAGCCTGCCGCAATGTAACACCCTGTTGGCCATTGGTATTAGCTTATGCTGCATTGACAAGTCAAACTGTTGCTCACCCACGGGACGTCCAATGGGGTCTCCAGCCTTCTGGTACCTACAGTCCCAACATTCATGATAGAGCCAACACAATCAGGAACACGGGGGAAAGGGCATATTCCTCGATTTAGCAGCTGGAATCAGAAACAAGCTGTTTGCCGGTTTAGGGCGTGCTGGACGAGATTTGAATGACAAGAATAAGCTCACCATCAGGATGTTCTGAACAGACAGACCAACACAGCAAATAGCCTAGCGACACCATGATGTTTTGGAATGATTCTGCTAAGTTCGAAACAAGCTCTAATTGATGACTCTCTCGAGTCCAAAAGTGAAAAGACTCGCTAGAAAAGGTTTGTTACACAAGAGTGGTTCGCCTTGAATTCTTACTTCCATTATCTTGCTAAGTCTATTCTATTCAAACGTGCAATACACTTCAAAAAAACAACCTATAATGATTTCAACCTGATGCCCTTTGTTTCATTAACTTAATGCAATTGTCCAGTGCTTATAGGAGGCGCTGGCTTCACCACAAGCTAAAAGAATAGATCAGTAATCCCTTCGACATATCGTAGCCGCAATGGTTACTCACCCACTCAATGTCATTATATGACTTAAAGAGTCGTCCTATTCCTTTTCCCTTCCTTTCGCCTTTGTCTAACTTCTCCTGTGCGTCTTGGGCCTTCCTCTTGTTTGACCTTTTGTTAAGTGCTCGACCAGCCATGGCAAGAGGGTCTTGTCGTCCCATGTCTGATCTTTCTGGTAGGATATCATTCACAAAGGCAATTCGAGGTCCATAAGTGCTCAGTCTATCAACTGGTGACGAGGTGTATGGCACATCTCGTATTCCATGGGAGGAGATGCACAGTTCCGTATCAAGGTCTTGGGTCTTGATGATACTAGAGCTTCGTTAGCATGAGCTCCTTGACTGCAAGAAATACGTACCATATCTCGAGTCCATTGGGGGCAAATAGCTCCATATTGGCCTTTGATAAGGCCTTTGAAACTATCGATGCATGGCCGAACGCCGTAGCAAGACCAATGCCGGCTTGACCTGCCATGAGTCCGATACTGGCAACACCAGGCCTGGCGGATAGATTTGTCAATTTAAGAAGCCGTACCGATTGAACTAGGTAACTTACAGAAACCACCCGGCAATGTTGGCACCCTTTTGGAACAATTGTACCTCTGGGTTGGGTGTACGGGCGAGATTGATCTCATCCACGACTTGAAGGAATTGATCGCGTGAGATACCGTACCTACTGATTTCGGAGCTGTAACCACGTAGGAAGGGCTCTCCTGCTCCGAATGCAATCTGCGGGAGAATCAGAGGTCGGAACTCAGTGTTTTGGAAGGACGGTTGGCCGGAGAATCGTGTATCCGTAGACATGGTCTCAGGGGAAGAGAAACTATATGATGGATGTTGATAGACATTGCTTTGTGAAGGCATCTGGCTGCTTCTAGGTCGACTGCTCAAGGGTGCATCGTAAGCGTGCACTGAATATGAGGGCGGTTCGTCGTTATAGCGACATCCAGGCTGTTGCTGGCTGCTGAAGCCATCTCGAGTAGAGAAATTCTCTATCTCAGGCGATCGATCCTTCGACTTCTGGTTATGATTTTGTCTTGTGCGTGGCTGACCTCCTTGAGACGAGGATGGAAATGCATCATAAGGCGACAGATCTCGTCGTGTTGATGGCATTTGCCTTGAATTATAAGGAGACCTCTTTTTCTGACTACTCTCTGTTGCAGCGTCTACGGCTGAACCGATCGTGTCTCTTAGAATGCCCATGATGCGTTTGTGTTTGTAAGTGGTCTGGGAATTAGGAGTAAAATGAAGTATTCTGGTATCGCTGAGAAGATAGCCAAGACCAAGACTTAAATATACGTAAATGACGACTGAATATCATCAACATCTGTTGAAGTGCCAAAATCAGTAAGTCTATCGACATATTTTTGGTCGACTCATACACGCTTTCAACATTAGGGCTGAGCATTCAGAGGGTAAGCGTTGGACCAATGATCGGATTTGCCGATTACCGTGATGCTTATCTAGTAGCGTCGAAATGGCCACCGAATCGAGTAAGTCAGACGACGATTCGCAGCAGTCGACAGGCAACACAAAGGTAAAACGACTTTTATTCGCAAATAAGTTCCATAAAGTCTCAGGCCGACTCTAAATTTTGTCACTCGGCATTTGATCGTCAATCGAGGATGCACAGCCCTACGACAACCCTGGTAAGTAATGCTATTCACTTGAATGACTACATATCACCTCTTGCGCTTTCTGACTGTCGAACAAGTGGCGGCAGAGGCCTCTACTAAGTGGCCTGCTGCTTGTCCTGGGGGTTTGTCCAACTCTAGCCATATCTTGTGCCATTTCGGGGACATGCATGGAATTGGGTCCCTTCAAGAGGACGCGTTCGTTTCAACCAATAATGGACAGCATTGCAACTAGTGAACAACTCGTGAAGCGTGACGCGACCTTTTCGCGCCGCTACTTATCTTATCTTATCTTATCTTTCGAGGTCGCCCGGTTTACTAAGGAAGAAAAGTGCACACAAATATTTAACTTCACCAGTCGAACAAAGAATGGTCAAAGTGCTTTTGGCAGGGCATTCAGCCAATAGGTCGGAAGGCGGGAAGTGAATTTGCTTGAGGACTTGGCTGTCATCAGGATCCCCGTCAATCAATCTCTACATGTTCTGCTTCTGAGGCTATCGTTATCTTATCGTCTTATCGTGGTGTTGGACTTTGCAAGCAATAACTTACCCTGAACAACATTTGACATTTAATAATTCCCAACAAACCTTGCAATATAATGGTAAGTACGAAGAGGAAATTGTGATATTTACTCATATTGACTTTGAGTATCCGACGTGAAAAATGCTGACAGTTACCCAAGTCGTGCTTGTCCCTTAACAGATAATGCTAGTTACTGCGTCAAATTGAATCTTATCTGTTAGTGTCATAACACTTCCAGAACTCTGATTGACACAACCAACTTCGGTAAAAAAGAGTCGTTGCATGGCAACTAGAATGATGTGCGCCCATTTGGGTGACATATGCAAAAAGATCCGATATGTGATGCCCTGGCTCTTATAGAGTCTTTTTGATCTTTAAGTATAATCGTGTATTGCTGATGTTCTAGTTTCTCTTCAAAAGTTGTTACTCTATTCCACCGAATGGTCATTATAGCTACTTCAACTGTACAACGGACGGCTTTCAGAAGTCGGAACGATGAAGATGAAACTTTCACACTAGCCTTGTCATACTGTACCACAGATGTTTGGCTGCCGAATACTAAAACACTCTGATAGACGGCTTGGCACTACGCAGAGTAGCATGGTGAACGAGTCTACTGAGCAGCTCATGTGACAAACCTTCCGTTAACGGGACCTTTTTGGCCACAAAATTAAAGCCAGTACAAAGGTTTCAGTCTGGACCCTTGACCGAGCAAACGGTCTCACGGTCAAGCCACCAGTCATCAAAGTTCGAGTCCCAGGATCACCGCCCCGTGCATCCAGCCAAAGACGAGGGCATCGTCTCGGGAATACCTCTCAGGTCATTGACTCCTGTTGATTGGAAATCCAAAGTAGCGGAAAGCCGGCCTACCCAGACTCTGGGCGCCAAGGTCTTACCCCAGAGAGGCCCAGTGCATGCTTGCATGTTCCCAAGTCCTGCAAGCTCTTCCACACCATTACGAGAATAGGTCGTTGTATTTATACTCATTTGAGAAAAGCCACTTGGAGATCTACGCGGCTATGTCGGCAAGCCTTCGCTTGGCTGTAGCTAAGCTACTGCCGAGTAGCTGATGTTCTTGACATTGCTACGCTGCTGTTTAATGAGCTGGATGCTGCCTTTCACCAAAGCGCTTGATCATCAGAAGCATCACGAGACTTGCAATCACTAAAATGCCCATTGCCGTTTGAAGGTCTTTTGTTTGAAGTCCAAGACGCTGAGAAATGATAGTTAGACTGGAGACTGATACGAGATGAACGTGACTCTGAGTCAAGTCTCGAATGCTTCGGCAAGCACCGAGATTGTATAAATTTCGCTATTCCTGGCAAGTTCGAGATCAACCTGAGGCACAGTCGGACCAGAACTTTAACCCCAGGACCCAAGAGCCCAGTCACATCATGGAATGATAAGATAAGGTGCGGAATGGTAGCATGGCCGCCCAATAGAGATCTCCATGAGCCCCCAAAGACACAAATATGATGCTTAGGAATAGTCTATTCATACTCTAGAATCGGCCAAGTAGGCCAAGAGAGGCATCCTTGACGGGATATCGGCCCAGCCTCTGGGCGGCCTGGGCAGCCGTTGTTCTGGGTCAGTCATCAACCCTAACCCACGAAATGACCTCTTTTCGGTGCGGACCAGCCGCTGTCAGTCACGTTGTACGAAAAGCAGTATCCTCAGGTGAAAATTCGGAATGTCATCCCATCAAGCCGATCAACAGCGCGCAGTGGAAAACCGTTACCGCTGCTCGTCAAAGGCGCTGCCGCCTTGATCTGTCAAACGATTTCGGAGGCTAGCCTTGTTGAGCCCGGCAAGTTGGTCTTCGACTTCCGTCGATTTATTCGTTCATTGGTAAACATGCGGACCCATTCGGCACCTGTGACTGGAGAAGAAAAAAGCTTACCCCAGGATCATTGCGGAGGGTTACAATCCCGCTTTTTCCGCGTGTGTCTTTTCTTATTTGGGGATCAAAGTGCCATGGGGTCGGAGGAGTCGGGCCGTATAAGAGACTATTATTCGTGGAGAATTGGTCGTTTGGAATGCGGGGGAGTAAGCTTGTCTTGACCATGAACGCTCGTGAAATAAGCACCTCTTTGACCAACTTTATCGTGAGATCGAATGTCACGAAGATCAAGTCGATAAAGTTGTGGAGAAAGAGTTATCATCATCTGGGGCATGAGCCTTTGAGAATATTCGTAAATCTCGAAGGTAAACTCTAATGGCAATAAAGGACATGGCAGATTCCCCTAATCTCATCCTATTCATGGCAGTCTCGCGGTCTGGAACTTTTGTCCACCTTCAGCGGCAAGGATCTCGACCAATCACCCAACGGGAACCCGGGCCGGCCAACACAAAGAGTTCCTCCTTACCTTAAACAGAATAAGCACGAGGGGACAGTAATTTTGGCCTCCACGTCTAACCCGCATCCCTCTCCACGGGGAATCGTAAGAGCCACCTCGGCTGCCCGCAAAGTGAGCCGACTAGATTCCAGGGAAGACAGAGCTTGTTAAATGCAAGACGGACCATGGAGCCGACAGAAGCACGATCACTACTCATCGAGCGAGCGAGTGTTAAGCGCCGCTGGCACACCCGAATCGGGGCCCAGCGCACATGACTGCATTATCGGATAACGAATCAGACTCTTGGTGCGTCAATACCGAATTCTCGCTTCCCCATTCCACGTGAATTTCGCGTCCAGGGATAGGACTTGGCCGTTCTGGTCAGATCAGTCTAGGCCGTAAGAGTGTAGCACTCGATTCAGCTCTCGGAAGATTGACCGTCGATCCGTGGCCCTGGACGGACAGACTTACCAGCCCTTTCAGATCTTTGTGGGTTGTATCGGATCTGCAGACCGTGTTCCATTGTGTAGCAGTTGGTAGGCACACGGACGGACTGAATTTGCGATGCAGACGAACACCACCATCCCCAGCATCTCCAAATTTAATATATATTCCCTTGACCCATCTTGGATCCCAGAGACTTGTTTCCTGCTCAGACCCATCTCAATCATCAATCAACAAAACACCCAGAAAGATAATTCGCAGCGTCGGCGCTGAAACATCAACATGGGATCCGAATCCATCCACAGCGATAGGCATGATGAGAAGAACGTGCGTTTCTCTCCACTCAGCGACGCAATTGAGCAAGTACTGACTTCTTTTGGTAGCCGAAGCACGAGGTCGCCATCGTCAAGACGGCCATTGGTGACGAGGCCTTCCAACAGGCCTTGATCAAGGAGCCCCCGCCCAAGATCGCCGCTCCTATCCTCATCTTCGCCAGCATGGTCGCTTTCTGCTGTTCCACCGCCAACGGTTACGACGGTTCGCTTTTCGGAACTCTTCTCTCCAACGATGACTTTAAGACATTCTTCGATGTTGATAACAAGGGCATTGGTGCCGGTATGTCTCATAAAAGTCAATCTGCCCCATGACGCTTCGAAACTGACACAGTCTTTCTCCAGGTATCGTCACTTCCATGTACCAGATTGGTTCCGTCGTTGCTATCCCTGCCGTTGGCCCTGCTATTGATACCTGGGGACGTCGTGTCGGTATGACCATTGGTTCTTTCATCATCATCATCGGTGTCGTTATCCAGATCGCCTGTATCAAGACCGCTAGTGTCGATCAGTTCATGGCTGGCCGTTTCTTCCTCGGTTTCGGTGTCTCAATCGCCGCTGCTGCTGGCCCAACTTACGTCGTCGAGGTCTCTCACCCTGCCCACCGTGGTATCATCACCGGTCTTTACAACGTCATGTGGCCCGTTGGTGCTCTTGTTGCTAGCAGTGCTGCTCTCGGAGGTTGGACTTACAAGGGAACTAACACCTCTTGGATGATCTCTGTCTGTCTCCAGCTCATGTTCCCTTGCACCATCTTTTTCTGCGCCATGCTGCTCCCTGAGTCGCCTCGATGGCTGTACACCCGTGGACAGAAGGAACTTGCGACATCGAACCTTATCAAACTCCACGGCCATGGAAACCCCGACAGCGAATGGGTCAAGCTCCAGCTTCATGAGTACGAAGAACACCTTGAGATGGACGGTAGCGACAAGCGATGGTGGGACTACCGTGCTCTGTTCCGCAACAAGGCTTCCATCTACCGTCTCACCTGCAACTGTCTCGTCTCTCTCTTTGGCCAGTGGGCTGGCAACAGCATCGTCTCCTATTACCTCAGTGCTTTCCTCGACACTGCCGGTATCAAGGAGGGAAGGACACAGACTAAGGTTGCCCTAGGCATGAACGCCGTCCAGATTGTCTTCGCCGCTATCGGTGCTGGTTTTACTGACACTGTCGGTCGCCGCCCCATGCTTATCGTTGTCAACCTTGTTTGCGCTCTTTGCTGGGTCGGCGTCACTGTCCCTGCCTCTATCGCCAACATTACCGATCTCGACGACAAGGCCCAAACCGACGCTGTCACTCCCCCTGTCAGCAAGGCTATTCTGGCCTGGGTCTACCTCTTCCAGATCTTCTACTCTGTTGGCTGGACTCCTCTCCAGGCCCTCTACCCCGTCGAGGTCCTCAGCTACGAGATCCGAGCCAAGGGTATGGCTTTCAGCTCTCTCTTCACCAACGCCGCCATGCTTGTCATGCAGTTCGGTATTCCCGTCGCTCTGAAGAACATCGCGTGGAAGACTTACATTGTTTTCTGCATCTGGTGTGTTTGCCAGTCCATCATCCTCTACTTCCTCGTCCCTGAGACCAAGAACCGCACCCTGGAGGAGCTTGACCACATCTTCTCCTCTGACAGCCCCGTCAAGACCTCCACCCAGAAGAAGCTCTTCGAGGCTGATTCCCATGCCAACATTGTTCACATCGAGCCTGCCGTTGCGGATCCCAGCAAGGTTTAGATGTTAGACAATCATTCTTTTCGACAACCAATGTTGTCATTTGCAAGCGATCGCAGTCCTTTTGCAGCAGTTGAAGTTCAGATTGATGGAGTAGGATATGAGTAGGGTTGTCAATCAGATGTATGCTCCGATTAATTAGTTCTAATAAATTCGATTGGAGCAGTATGTTTTGGGCTTCGGATACACTCGGAATGCCTTCCTTATTGTTTTGTGATCAAGACAGCCTTAACAGTGATGTCGGTAGCGGCCTAGTGAGAAGATCCTCAAGGTGGCTAGTGAAGTGCTAGAGTATATGGACTGCCACTGGAAAGGATTAATTACAGAATGTCAAGCCGGGAGCAGGCGTCCGTTCCATATGAGGTAAAAAGTGTTTGCGAATAATGTGCTCGTGATTTCACAATACGTGTCTTGTCAGATTCGACATTGCGATAGCTTCGAGTAGTCAACGTAGATACTTGTGGCTGAGTGCTTAGACCAGCAGCGAGAACTTAGCAAGGGAGGTATGGTACAGTGTCGGAAGAAAGGAATTTGAAATAGACCTCAGAGTGACAGTTGAGGGCATAGGAAAGATCAAGAAGGGGACAATGGCGAAGGGTGCAGAATGCAGGACAAGGCAACTGTCATAATCATGTTATTATAACCGAGCATCAGGGTTCTGCTCAGCTATGGCAGCCCCACCGGATAATTACAGGATAAATGCGCTGTGTGTGTCAAAGTCCAGATGCAGGTTTAGGCAATACCTTAGCCTAGAGCTTTAGCTGAACCAACATGCATTTATCTTTACACGCATGGTCAGATGACCTGATATCAGAACCAACAACCAACAACCAACAAAAAAACATCAGGTCATAGAAAGTCTTCGAGCTCACGTTTGTTCAAATCCGATTTCGTCGCCTAGCGCCAATATTCCACTTGCTTCGTAAGCATAAAAAGCTCAATTTGCAAGGGGAAAGGACAGACCCTGATCATATTTTGAGCACCTAGTTACTCCCCCTACATTAACATCGACTAGTAAATGGACTTCCACCCCTTTTTGGAGCCAGTCATGACACTGCCTTGAGGCTTCCCTCTTTATTGCAGAGGATAGAGACTGGAATTTGGTGAAGAGTGGGCATATGGGAAGAAAATTTATTTTGAATCCGTCACATTGACCAGAGCAGTGTAATAATGTATGGATACCTGCACATCATGTTCAATGTCACCGCAGTGGTTACTCATCTGGCCTATGACCTGATACCGTGCCGCAAAGACTGGGTCGAGAACAAGGAATTTGTTCGGGTTTGTGCCGATATTCCGAGTAATCCAGTCAGGACTCCTAAGTGTGCTCACATTTTATGGCGTGCACCAGGGCCAACATCATGAGATGTATGATTTGTATCCTATCAAGGAGGTTGCCGATATCCCAAAAGGATACAGTACATGTGAGGGATTTACTCGACAAACATGATTTCGGGCTGTTCTTGAATGCTTAGTTAGCTCAAGCACAGAGAGGCTTTTCATATAAAGTCAGTGATTCCTCCGTGTATTCTTCATGGATCCTAAGCTACCTACACAATTCTCTGAGATCTATATACTCTTACAACGTTCTGAAACATTTTAAACCTATCTGTAAGCAAACTCATACTACGTTCTGTATACTACTAATCATTTTCGACAGTGTCTTATAGCCACAATGAAGATCACTCTCCCAACTGCAGCATTCGCACTCTCCTTGCTAGGCGCCGCTGATGGAGCTCGCATTGAGACCTACGTTACAACTGGGGCGTCGCCTATTCGTGTTTATTCGTCTGTCTACATTGGCGATGACGGCCAGCATTACAGCCTCGGTGCTTTCGATGACGGTTGTAGGAAGACTAAGTATGATTGGATCAAGCAAATTTGTATCGACTCGGACAGAGAAAGGGCGCATGTTGTTTACTCTGGTGGCACAAGGAAATGCTTCAAACTGACAAAGCAGTCATCTAAGTCCTGCGGTGGCCCTTCGGGCTGTTGGCAGAATGTCTGTCAGACGTGTTGGACGTATGTCTACACTTCAACCAAGTGTACTTGGTGAAATAGAAGCGCAGCTTTTGGAGGATCAGTATATGTTCTCCATGACCTTTTGGGGTAAACTAAGGGTTACAACTTCTCGTTCGACTGATAATACTCGTTATCCATCTTCTTCATTATATCAATGCAAACAGTATCCGATATAGTAAAATTTCAGTATGCCTTTCTTTTTCCACAGCCTTTGAACCTTGCAAACCGTTCATAGACCAGACCGCCATTCTCATGACGAATATGTGACCAGGTTCTGTGTGATGGTAATAGACTCTCAACCACTAGTCTTGACTATAGATAGCAAATCACATATTATGCTGTCTCTCCAGTTTTCCTGCAACAAGACAAAGGAGATTACGGAGACTGTTCCAGGTATCTCTAGGCTCAAGAAGTGACACATGAGTCCGAATTATGATATAGTAATAGAAATGGCAGGTATATTTGTCTATCAGTAGTATTGACCCAACTACTCAAATATGTGCTTTGAATGATAGATGGCCTCGAGTCAAACGCATTTGGACTCAACCACGACCGCTTAGTTTTAGGTTTCCCCCCTGATCTACATGTAGGAAGCATCATAGAAGCCCTTGGAAGCGTAGTTTCCAGAGAGGACGGTGGAGATAGAAACCGCGGAGGAGAGCTTCGTGGCGAAAGAGGCACGCTGACCTTGAGAACCAGCACCGGTGTTTCCATACTCTCCAAACAGTACATGGGCAGTGTTCTCCTCACCAGTGTTCCAGATAGACCAGCCCTTGGAGTTGATGACAGAGCTCATGTTAGTCTTCTGAAAGACAACACGCGCATACTGGCGCCAAGGTCGACCAAGGTAGTATGTGCCGTTGGCGACGGCGTTGCCGGCAGCTGCGGCAACGTTGCAGTTGTTGAAGACGTAGTAAGACATGTTGGAGTCAGAGTCACGGCCATTGGCTGTTTGGAGTTAGTAATTGTGCTTGATACTTGATAAGGATTAGCATACCAGTGATGTAGCCAACTGAGGCGGCGACAACTCGAAGGTCAATCTTCTCGAACCAGGCAGAAGCAGTTTGGCCAAAAATGAAGTCGGTAGCGCCCTGAATAAGGCATTTGGAGTACAGCTGGTAGCCCTGCTGGGCAAGAAGGGTATCCTGAAATCCAGTGAGAGCGACACCGCTACGGCTAGTTAGTAATGATCATGATCGAGTTGTCAGTTGACTGACTAGTATCCGCTGTCGGCATAGGCGCTCAAAGCAACAGCTTGGCTACCCTTTCCATAAGTGTTGGCAACATTGACGTTGTAGAGCTTGAAATTGGCAGCCTTGACACGGAGGGTAGCAGTGCCGTCGTTGTTCAGACCATCAGCCTGGCTCTTCTTGGCTGTGATGGTGACCTTGTTGCCGCTATATCCGCTAGTGTCGGTAGTGTAGCCGTAGATAGACAGTTGAGCGCTGCGACTAGGAACAAGGACCTGCTCGTTGTAGGTACCCTGGTCAATGAAGATGCACTGCTTTCCGGATGCCGTGGTCGAGAGAGAGTCGACTGCAGCCTGAACAGTACCGAATTGTCCGCTTCCAGGTGACTTCTTGACAGTTATACATCCGGAGGGGGCAGTTGTTCGACTAGCAGCGAATGCCGCTGTGACGAAACTCAATGTTGTAAGGAACTTCATGGTGATGTATGTAGATCAGGATAACCGAAACAAGCCAATGATGAGAAACAGAACCGCCGGGAAAATGTCAGTGTCAAGAGTCTGAGTATTTATGTAGCATTTTTAAACTTCATCTCTTTGTAAATCATCATATAACTCCAACTCTATACTCCAGACACAGCTCAAGGGAGTTTCTTGTGATTGGTGGAGAATAGTTTGTTCATTAAAAATACGAGGCCCCTGCTCCAGAATCATCCGGTTTGTCCGGAGCGTAAGCTTCCGATATTGGTTTCAGCCGTTTCAAGTCGATTGCCATGCCCCCAAAGTGACTAACTCTAATGAGTGTAGCAGCCCATTTCGATCGGATTGTGGCCAGATCTAGATGCAGTTTGAGCTGCTTCGTTTGGTGGATTAATCGTTTGCCATGTTTTCATCCCGCAGATGAGAAAATCCGGGGTACACGCGTTTCACGCACTTGCAAAGCCCTTCATTTCCTCCACTAGCTAGCTAGTGGACACTTGCAAATGAAGGCCAGGGTCCACGCTCAAAGTCAAAATCAAGTGCCGTTTATGTTGCATTGAACACAATTGATGACCAAGGATAATGAGACGAAACTCAAATAAAAACGTAACACAAAGCATGCACGCCCGCGGGCCGAAGTGAAATGTTGACAGAGAAGTAAGTGAATTGATCTCTGGACACAGAGTCTCAAGTAGACTATGGATACATGTAATCGCTCCCAACAGCCCAGGACCGCCATCCAGTCGTCGATATTACATACGTGTCTATCGTGCACTATTTTAGGCCGAGTATGCGGCAACACCCATAAAACCATAAGATCATCAAAAGATAAGAATGTTAAGCATCCACTGCACAGAAACAGACATCCCACTGAGAAAGTAAGAAGGTAAGGCGCGGGTGCCCCAGAGCAACGGAGTGGAAATAGAAGAACGAAGCGAAGATCATGCGGCTACATAGTCGCTAATCGTTTCTGTGGGAATGTCAGTGGGGGTTGATGCGGATAGGACGGGAGTACTAACAGAGGAGAGCAATAGCACCCATGGCAAGGAGAGCCAGGACGGGGCGGACACGCTCACCGCCGGAAACGATGACAACATCATCACCAGAAGGCTTGCCACCCTTCTTGCAAACGGTGGGCTCAACATAGGGAGTGACGTCCCAAGGGTTGAAGCCGAGGCAGGTGGTGTAGGCAGTCTTGCAGGTCTCAATGATGGCACCGGAAGCGTCGCAGCAGGCCTTGTAGACAGTGGTGCACTCAACAGCGCACTCCTCATCGGAGCCAGACTTGCTGGAGCTGTCGGACTTAGAGCCAGAGGTCTTGGAGGAGTCATCGGACTTGCTGGAGCTGGAGCTGGAGCCACCGTTGTTGTTTCCCTTGGAGCCGGAGTCCTCTCCGTGCTTGCAGACAGTAGGCTTGACGAAGGGGGTAACGTCCCAGGGGTTGTAGCCAAGGCAGACGACGTACTCCTTCTTGCAGACCTCGATGTCGTGACCGTCAATGGAGCAGCACTCATCGTAGACAGTGGTGCACTGGACACAGCACTCCTCCTCGGAGCTGGAGCTGGAGCTAGAGCTGGAACCGCCGTTGTTGTTTCCCTTGGAACCAGAGTCCTCGCCGTGCTTGCAGACAGTAGGCTTGACGAAGGGGGTAACATCCCAAGGGTTGTAGCCGAGGCAGACGGTGTACTTCTCCTTGCAGATAGCAATATCGGCACCAGGGACGGCACAGCACTCATCATAGACAGTAGTGCACTGGACGCAGCACTCCTCAACGGTAACCTCAACCTCCTTGTGGCCGTAGTCGGTCTTGCCAGAGTCTCCGTGCTTGCAGACAGTAGGCTTCTCCCAAGGGACAACAATGAAGGGGTTGTATCCAAGGCAGATGGTGTACTCCTTCTTGCAAACCTCAATATCAGAGCCGGGGATCTTGCAGCACTCGTCATAGACAGTAGTGCACTCAATGCAGCATTGCTCAACATCGACCTCGACATCGGAGTGCTCGTAGGACTTGTCGTACTTGGAGTTGTAGTAAGATTCGCCGTGCTTGGACTCATACTCCTTATAGTAAGACTCCTCGTGCTTGCAGACAGAAGGCACCTCCCAGGGGACGACGATGAAGGGGTTGTATCCGAGGCAGACAGTGTACTTCTCCTTGCAGATAGCGATATCAGCACCGGGAACAGCGCAGCACTCATCGTAGATGGTGGTGCACTCAAGGCAGCAGTATTCGGGAGTGTAGTAACCAGAGTGGTAGCCAGAGTGGTAAGAAGAGGTGGAGTAAGAAGAAGAAGAGTAATAGTAGCCGTACTTCTCCTCGAAGTAAGAGCTGGTGTACTTGGACTCGTACTCAATGTAGTAGCTCTTGTCGTGCTTGCAGCTGGTGGGCTTGACGAAGACAGACTCGTAGGGGTTGTAGCCGAGACAGATGGTGTACTGGTTCTTACAGACCTGGATGTCGGAGCCCTCAATGCTGCAACAGTCCTCATACACGGTGGTACACTCGATGCTGCAGATCTCGGGGGTGAAGCAGGTTCCAGTGCCGCACTCACACTTGCCAGGGACGGGAGACTTGGTGGGTCTGGCCATGGTGGTCATGGTGGTGGTGAAAGTGACGGGCAGCTGGGAGGTGACCGAGGTAGGGACGTTCATGCCACCAGAGGTGGAGAAGTCGGTGGTAGAAGGTCCAGGAGTAGTCGTCTGGGCGAGGCCAGTCGAGCTCAAGGCCACGGTCAAAAGACCAGACAAGCCGAGGGAGTATCTCATCTTGGGCGATGTATATCAGAAGAAAAGAGAGTGATTAAGTTGGATGTAAAACAGAAAACAAAAAGAGTGAATGTGAAAATGGGTTAGTAAAGAGTGGCAGACGCAACCGGCTGTGAACGAGTGATGCTGGCTGAGCTGAAGAAGTTGATTTGGAGAGATGTCTACAGCCTTCTTATACTCAAAAGTTCACGCGAGAGCTTCCCTCGGAAACAATCAGATTAGTTTCGTTTAGGGCCACGATGGATCAGTCCGGAATCTGGGGTAGAGCCGCTGGAATTGGGGAAATTCGATATTTCCCCAGATTAGAGTGCCAGCCTGCCAAAGGCATCAAAGTTCAAGGTTCAAGGGGTCAAAGATTTACCTCACGCAAGACATGTCCCTTGAGAATGTTTCAGATGCATATTTGATAGGTTTCATCAGATGACCTCGTATTTGAGCGAAGAATGCTGCAATGCCAAGAAGGTATTGAAGGGGGTCATGTTATTGCCGGCTTGGCAAATAGAAGTTTTGGTGTTGGCCTGAACCACATATTCCATACACAATATCATGCCCAGACTTTCTCCTTCAACTCTTTCTTGGCCCAAAAATCTCCGAAAAGGTTCCGTCGTTACAACTGATTTACAGTCGGGGACAAATGTCGGCTCATGAGCTGAAGGGATAGTGAACACAATGTCTCGGACCATCGGTTTAGTCACAGCCGTCCCTCCACAATTGCCCAATCACGGCTTTTGAACCATTAAAACCTCATTTCTGGGGTGGAATCTGACTTGCCGACGGCCGATGCCCAGCCTGCTTGGCTCGCCGGCTGAAGCAATCCAGCGTATAAGCTTTCTTTAAGCTTGAACCAAGATTCCTGGACCCCCTTTCATATAGGCAAGGACCACGATAGGGCGGAGTGAGACCCAGCCATCTAATTCCAATATCAGTCGACTTTGAGATTTCTGTTTCTTTGCGAGAACGGGGTCGTCAAAGCGTGTTTAATTTTTGGGAGAAATCGACTGAACCAGAAGCTCAAGACCTTGGAAAACTGAAAGACAACGCGCCCAAATTCATCAAAGGTACCATATTAATCATAATATCAGGTTTCTAGACTGTCGACTGCCAGCCGACGTCCGGAACTCGCGGGGAAATTTGTGGCACTAGATTCATATCAAAAGGTCTCAGGTGATCCTTGAGAATGTCTCACCACCGCCCGAGTCTCGTAAATAAACAACTATGCATTTTTTTAACCTTGTATACCTTATCCGTCTAGCTTTGCATGCCAGCCTTAACGCAGAAATAACACGTCGCGCCACTGGTTAGACGAGACGACAGATGCACCGGACCGGGTCGGAGAAATGAGCATGAGTCGGAACATCGCGATCGGGACCATCGGGTGACCAATTAATAGGGGGAGCGGAATGAACGCTATTGTTTCGGTTTGTGTTTTGGTATGATTAGGGTAGTATTGAGTCTGGGGTCATGAGTGTTGAGGCCAGTTGTAGATCCACATCCCATTCTGATAATCGCTTGCCGAACATGAGGTTGTAGAGGACATAGCGAACAAGATGGTTCAGCTCAAGTCGTTCAAGTCCGCCAGCGTCTTCAACCATCTTCATGGCGCCCAATACATGCTTTGCAGCGACAAGATGATCTCCACAAGTAATCTACATGGTCAGCATGTCAAGTTAACTATCTCTGCCCTATCGATGAACTCACCTCATCAAGGGCGAGAACTGTGGTCATTGCAACTGCATTCCGACGCGACGGAAGACTCCGCGACCAAAGCCCCTTCCGAAGGCTCTGTAAGTAGTATTGCTTGTACTGAATGGCCAACAATGTGTACTCATCGCGGAGCTCAACTTCAGCCAAGTATCGACATGCTGCAAGCAGACAGCCTCGTAGAAGAACCGGATCAGTAGAAACGAAGAAGATCCAGTTGCTTCTGATCTCGGCTGCTTGTTCTGCAATGTCCAAGATTATAGGGCAATGTGCAATTTGGGAGGGCAAGACAGTTTGAAGATCTACGCGGGGCTGGTTAGAAGAAGCTACCCTACACCAATTATGCCAAACTCACATTGACTAAAGATGGAGTGCTCAAATGTCGAGAGCGATTTAATAAAATAAATTATGTTACTTGGCTGGAAATCGCCAGGTAACGTGAAAGGCACAGATGATAATTTTTGTAGTTTGCTGGTCGATGGGAGGGTGAGTCCCATGAGCAGATTGTTTGGTTCATCATGGTTTTTTGTACTTTGTTGTCCCTTTTGGTCATTGTACTCAGCTATTTTCTGTTTCCGTGTCCGTGCATGGGCGACGCGAGCTGCGTGAGAGTGAGCCTTCCGCGTCGTCTTGGCTGAAGCACGCTGCCCAGGATTGGTCACAGTAATGAATTGCATGCTGAGAGAGATTGACGCATGTAGTTAAAAAATCGATATCTAATATCACTGTCTGCCACGATTAGAGATGCTTTTGAGCAATGTATTTGATGACGATGCTTAATAATTCACAATTTCATGCCAAGAAGTGCTCCTACTCTATTGAGCCTAGTCTAATCAAACTAACTACATATGGTAAGAGACCTCATCACCAGCCTCTTCGTACACGGCGTTAAGAGCAGCAGCAACTTCTTCAGGCAGCGGCCCCTCCTCAACCGTATCAACATTACTCTCCAGCTGTTGGGGACTAGATGCACCGATGATTAGTCCGTCCCCATATTTCTTGTTGAGAATGCTATGATGCGCTGTCCATCTGAGGGCTGCAGCATGCCCTGCAATGTTATGCTTGGCGAACACTTGAATGGCCTTGTCGACAGCCCCAAGAACCGATGGCTTGATGTAGAGCGAATTAGTGATACTTCCTGATTTATGCTACCGTATGTCAGTCATGTATTTGGAAGAAAAACTGTCCAGAAGTTCTGCTCACTGCCGGGTCAAATCGTCCATTTGGAACAGGATTTTTGTGACTTCCCGAAAAGAGGCCCCCAGCAGCAGGACTATAGGCATAAAATGCCATGCCATTCTTTCGAAGAATAGGAAACAGCTCTTTCTCGCCGGCGCGAACAAGTGCGTTATAGTGACCCTGATAGATAACAGGCTTGACAAAACCTCTCTTTTCACAAATATTGATCACCTCTTGAACTTCATCGGCTCGGAAGTTGGAGATACCCCAAGTTTTGATCTTGCCATCTTTATGGGCCGTGTTGAGAGCTTCAAGAGCTGGCTCAATCGGGTTACTGCGATCAGGTACGTGAAGATAATAGACATTGATCTGGTTGATCTTCAGAAGCTTGAGTGAGTTGCCGATATCATGAGTAATGTTCTCCTTGGTATGGCCCTTCATGAAATCTGCTTTGGTGTCGATACTGAACCGCTCGCCTGCGTTGACGGCACCGAGGCGAGGCTCAGAGCTATAAGGAGCCTGGGGCGAATAGACTGCAGCTGTGTCGAGCTGAGTATAGCCTCGTCTGGCGAAGGCGTTGATGAAGGCATTTACTTCATCTGGAGTATCATAGCGAGCCCAAGGGTCAGCTTCTTTGTCTCCGACCTGCATGAGTATCTGATCAGTTTTGATTCAAGCAAATACGTCTAACTACTCACGTTTGCAGCTCCAAGAATCAACTTGAGAGGTGATTTTCTAGCGGAAGTCATGATGTTGTGCTTTAGCAGTGAAGGTGAGTATAAGTGATAAGATGTGAATGACTGAATGAAGAACTCAGACTATCATGGTAAACACGTTGGATTTATATACTGCTCGAAAGCAAATATGTTGTACAAGACTTCATTTTCGTAAATCTGCCAAGGAGTGCTGTTGCCAATTACGGAAAGCGTCAGAGCGATCTTCTGGAGGCTTGATTCGTCCGAGTTGACTACGCCAAGACATGCAGTTTCCTATTGGGGAATGTGCTGAAGCCTCATGTCTAACACTTAGCTTCCATATGACGGAGGAAACCCTTTAAGATGCATTTGTAATGCGGAATTTGAGCAGATTGCATTACAAATCACCCTGTGAGCGCAGATATACTGGACTTAAGGTTGTAAAATGCATTTGTTGTGTCACTATCTAGCACTCGGGTCTGAAATGACACTAAGCTACATAGTTGGCCTCCATCCAGCCACCATCAACGTATATCTCCTGCTTTGTCATGAACCTACTCTCATCTCCCAGTAAGAAAGCAATGGAGGCAGCAATCTCCTCCGGCTTGGAGTAGCGCTTGATGATTGACGTCAAGTGATCTCCCTCCGTCATCGTCCATGTACCTGCACCGTTGGGCAAGTGTAGAGGCTGACGGATCATATCGGTATCAATACATCCTCTGCCATATATGTCAGTGCGGTTAGAGTCTCATGGGAGATTACTCACGGGCATAGAAGGTTGACTCTGATGGGGTTCTTGGGGTACTTGGCACCACCTTCATATGCAGCTGATTGACTCAAACCGCGGGTGGCGTTCTTTGACGCCGCGTATGCTCCCATATTTCCAGAAGCATACTTGACCTGTTGACTGCCGCAGTTGACGATGCTGCCTCCGGGTTTCATGTTCTTCATCTCGTACTTGATACTGTTGAAGGTGCCGATGACATTCACATCCAGAACTTCCTTCAACTCCTCGAGATCAAGGTCTTCAATAGGATGAATACTTTTGTTCATCTTGGCTACCAACTGAGTAAGCATGAGTTCCTCACAAGGTATCAGGAGCTAATCATCCCACCTGCAACATTTGCAGCACCGTCCAGCTCTCCCCACTTGGCAACAGTCCCTTCAATCCATGCTTTGACATCATCAGGGTTCCTGACATCTGTGGGAAAATAGATGACCCGACCCTTGACATCAGGGATATCCTGCTCGATACCAGCAACAGCTTTCTTCAGATTTTCCTCCGAAGTAGCAGCCATGGAAACCTTAGCTCCACGTACCAAAAGGTAGCGCGAGAGGGCCAGGCCTGTCCCGCGACTAGCGCCAGAGACAACGATGACCTTGTCTTGGAAAGGGTACGGGTTTGCCATTCTTAGAATCGTAAAAAGAAAAACTGATATTAGAAATGCAACATGTGAGAGAATGGAGTATCGGCTGCCGCTGTTTACTGGGTAGACTATATAGGGGACTCCATATGCTTCTCAAGCAAGCCAAGTGCCAAGCTTTGAGTCGTCCTGGAGGGGGATTGAGTGATAATTACACAACGACCAGGAGCAGAAGAAGCTGCCAATATCTTGGTATGGAGCACTTAAAATGGAGCTTTTTGAGTCGTGGGAGATGGTCAACAGGGAAGATACTGAGTCGTTGCGTTATCTCTTTCCCCGAGGGAATATCGCGCCCAATAGGACGGAAGCGATCATCACGTAGTGTTGCATCGTCTAACGATCCCATAACAAAACCGTTTCGAAAATGAGGGCTGCCTTGGTACTGGCTGACTGGGCCTTGATCCCTACAACAGGACCGGTTGAGTTACATTGTGTAGGCGAGAAATCTGAGCATTACAGGGAATGGCTCGAAGGATTGAACAGCTCATGCACCCTGACCAATCCCAGTTCTGCATGACGTGGGTCTGCAAGAGGGGAAAACAAAGCTGTTAACCTCTCATTTCTTTTTCCTCTTAGGTTGTATTAAAGGCGCCAAACGAAACCTGTACGAGAATTTTGTGACCGTCAGCGTTGACGGGAGGGAACAGTCTGCCTAGCCTCCAGCGGTCCGGTCCGTGGCTCTCATTTCTAGTGCTGCCTCTGAGGACTTTAGCAACGGATTGAAAATAAGATTTGTGGGCTGACGTGGATCTCCTGACAAGGATCAGATCCTTATTCCAGGACGTGGAGACTGTTGTTTTGTCTTTTCACATGATTTCATAGGGAAGATATAGGGGCTAAGAGAGGTCCTCCCCGTCAAATGAGGGAAGAGGAAGAAGGTCAGACCACTAAACGGTGAATGCGACAAAAGAAAGCAAAAGTGACATATCGCCAAACACTGTGGGACTGCAGAAGCTGAGTATTTGAGACGAGAGGTCGCTTATGAGAAGGAGGGGGAAGTAAAAAATCCCAGCGGAGCTTTGTAATTGAAGATCGTTATAGTACTCCGTATGTTGCGATTCTGTGTCGGATGAATATTGCTGAGTATGATGCCACAGGCCCCTTTACAGATCAAGATGTTCTGTCCCAGCCCGGTGGCCTGGACACGCAAGGGATTTCAGCCCTGTTGTTCCTGAAGCAAGCCCCATATATAATAACGGATAACAGGCACGCTACAGAAGTGATCTGCAGCCATTGGATCATGTTTGCGAAAATCATGGGTCAGCATTGTCTCAACGCTGGCCAGCGGCCTTGGCCCGGGGCAAGGAACGTATCATGATGGTTTACGGCTCATTGCCCGGAATCCTACCAATAAAGGGGTCCAGCATATTGTTCGGATAGATATTCGTAGGTCATACGTTTGCTGTCAATATGGATCTCGCATCAGACAAAGCAAAACCATTAGGTCGGAAACCGCCAATGCCGAGCTGGTTCCCCTGAAGACGGTTGCAATTAGCCCACTTTCCTTTCTTTATCAAGCGAATCGCATCTTTAGCTATGGAGAACTTGACGAAAAAAAAGGAATAACTTGTTGGCTGGACGTTCCTCGGGGCAAAAGTGCCAAAGCTGAAGTGCGGAGGGTCTTACCTCACTCTTCGCTGGCCTTGAACTGTAGGTCATAATGGCAAGTGAGGCGTCCGAGATTTCAACAAGTCCCTAAGGCCTGGCATAGGATCCTTCGCCAGGCCCCCAGAGCGGACATCGGTCTTGTCGCCTCGGGTGCGTAACGGGAAGATCATCCTTGACGAAGAGTAGTGGAGCCGTTGCAGACGAAAAAGAAAGCTCCTGACAACGTCCGCCGTTGAAACAGAATAAGGAATAAGCTTGCAGATCTCAAGATTTCCAGATAGATTAACATTAACGTACCTCCCAGCTGCAAATTGTTGATTTGCTACTGGATTCTTGGCCCTACCCAAACTTGACCTTTCACTCCACGATCAACCGATACTGTTGCGGTCGAGTCGCAAATCGCCATGGCTGAGGAGGTGTATATGATGGAGCCGCCCAAGGGGCAGGACAGGTGGGAAGCTGGAAGTGCTGCGACTATACAGATCATTTTGGGTGCTTGTCTGTTCACACTTGGGACGGTCATTTATGGACTCCGGATCTTGACCAGAGTGCGGCTGCTCAAGAACCCTCTTCGTCTTGACGATTGTATGTTTCTTCTTTCAGATCTAGGGTTTAGCATAGCTAATCTCATACGCAGTCCTCACTGGCGCCTCGCTTTTAGCATGCTGGGTCTTTTATGCATGCACTATGGGTAGTAAGTCGTCCCATTCCTATCAACACATACATACTCACAAAGACAGTGGTTGCCCAGGGAGGCTGTGCTACCAACTTCTGGCAAGTGACTCAATCTCAATACGAGTCATTGCTCAAAGTACGTTTTCAAATTCACATATTCGTGTTCGAGATGACTGACGTCTTGTAGTGGACTATCCCCGTCAACATCTTCTACATGCTGTCCTCCGATCTCGCCAAAATTTCTCTTCTTTTCTTCTATCTCCGCCTCTCACCCGAACGAACCTTTCGAATCGTCATCTATGTCCTAATCAGCCTCTTTGGTCTTTATGCCCTCATCTACGCTATGATTAGTCTTTTTGGCTGCCAGCCCATCAAGGCCTCGTGGGACCTTGCCGCCCAAGCGACGGGCAAATGTGTGGACAAGTTCGGCTTCTTCTTGGCTGCGTCGGTTGCCAACGTAGTCATGGATCTGGTAATTTTGCTGCTGCCGTTGCGGATTGTCATCCCGCTACAAATTCCTCGTCGACAGAAGATGTCACTTCTGTTTCTGTTCACTACAGGTGGCTTGTGAGTACTTTTCCCTGAACCACTTGATTGACGTACTGACATCTCCAGTGTTATCATCGTTGCCATCTACAATTGTGTTCTCACTGTAAAGCTATTCAGTAGCCCCAACTACACCTGGGGCCTTGCATACGAACTCTGCTGGATGTACGCTGAGTTGACTGGCTGTGTCATATGTGCATCTGCCAGCTCTCTCAAACCATTCTTCAAGCGCATCCTACCCACCATCTTCACCAGCCATGGCGCCAGCTACGGCGGGCCCTCGGGAGCAACAGGCGGATCTAATGCCATCAAGAGCCGAAGACAGTTGAGCCGCAAGCAAGCTGATGCCATCGAACTCCAATCTGGAGATGACTCCGAGTCAGGCAGAAAGGTTACCGATGACGATGAAGCTACACTCTGGCCAAAGCCACAGCAAAGTTTCGACAATGGCAATCACCAGGTCTTGGTGACTGCGCCTGGAGTAGGTTCTGGTGTTGCTGGTTCACGCAGAAGCAACTCCCATTACCACAGAAACGGTAAAGCTGACGGCATCGAGATTATTTCAACGACGGAGGTTATGTACAGTCCTAGGTAGAAGAGGTTCCTTTGGTCATAAATAGAGTCTTATCGAGCAACGTCACTAAAAAAGAACAACATGGAGACTGAGCGATCAATAACGGTCTACTAACCATGACAGGCTATCGCACGGGTGTGTACCCAGAATATCTAAAGACCCTTCCAGAAGAAAGTCTTGGGTAAGATAAAGTCCGCCCGTGTAATTTCATCTTTCGGATTTGAGCTGGAAGCAAGTATCACGGTGTACTTTCCAGCTTCAGCCTTCCACTTCGATGCCTCCTGGCACCAAAATGACAGTGAATACTTATCAAGAGTAAGTTCAGCGGTCTTGGCCTCGTCGACATCCACAGTGACCTTGGTAAATGCCTTCAACTCTCTGATTGGCCGTTGAAGAGAACTGTCTGCGTGGTGGATGTAGAGCTGAACAACTTCGGCACCTGCAAATGCACCCTTGTTGGTGATATCGACCGTAACACGCATTTGGTGATCAGCCGCTGGTGTAAACTCCTTGGGGACAGTGAGATTTGAGTACTCGAACTTCGAGTATGAAAGACCGTGACCAAAGTAGAAGAGCGGCTCTCGATCAACCATCTCGTAGTATCGATGACCGATAAAGACACCTTCGCCATACACAATGTCGTAGTCCGCCTTGGAGAAGGTGAGATACGCTGGTGTATGCTTGACGGATTTGGGGAATGTTAGTGAGAGCCTTCCAGAGGGATTGACCTTGCCGAAAAGAACATCAGCCATGCCATGGCCTGTCTCTTGGCCGCCAAACCAGGCGTGAAGAAGAGTCGGGGCTTGAGACTCCCAAGGCATCTCGATGGGCAGCCCTGATTGCGTAATGATAATCTGGAACGCGTCAGTCTAAGCATTCGGCTAAACAAAGGTCAGCTTACAGCGTCGGGGTTGGCCTCCAAAACAGCCGATATCAATTCGTCCACGCGACCCGGAAGTCTCAAATGTTTCCTGTCGCTGCCCTCATACTCGAAATCCGACGATAAGCCAGTGATAACTATGGGGACATCAACCTTCTTGGCGAGTTCCACGGCATCCTTGATACCCTGGTCTTCGTCGTAGAGCTCAAAAATCCCAACGCGACCAGCGAGGGTTTGTGCTGTACCAACGCCGCCCGAGAGGCTCTCATTTACTTGAAGCACCTCGAGGTCAAGTACCTGGCCCTTTGTGAATTCGCCCTCATAGAACCTCTCCATGGACAGACGGTTGAAGCAAGGTGTTGAGTCAGTTTTTGGAGGCTGGCTTGTCCACAGATCGATAGCCTCCTTGCCGTTAATGATGAGCTTTCCCTTTCCAGAAGTGCTAAAGCCAAACTTGAGTTTTCCCGACTCGTGAATAGTGTACTTGGCTTTCGCTCTGGCATAAAATTTGGTTGGGAGTGTCGCGTGGTAGCTCTCTGGAACATCGACCAGCTGCTTCTCGGCTGTAGTTGAGACAAGAACCTTGGTATTGGGGTTCTCTTGCGGGTCATCTCCAAAGATCTCGACAGACCAGCCCTCGGAATCTGAATCTGGGGGTGTATGACCCTTAATGAGGGGACTAAATCGGAAAGCTGTTTGTAGTGTTAGCACGGATGTAGCGACGGTGGCATAATGCGTGACTTGCAATTGCAACCTGGAGTATATGTGATATTCTCCTCTCCTACAACTTCCTTGATCGCGTCGTATGGGGTAATGCCATAGTAAGGCTCAACCTCGGCACTTCCACCGCCGCAGAGAGCAGGGTTCTTGACATGATCTCCAATCAGTCCGAACTTGAGGTCCTTCGGGTTCTTGATCGGTAGTCTTTGCTTGTCGTTCTTCAACAGCACTACTGACTCAGCCACTAGCTGTCGGATCAGGGCGCGCTGTTCTGGTGTATCCGATTGAGGGGCCTTTCCTGATTTCTCGCCCGCCTTGCACTTATTTACAAGATTCAGGACATTCTCGACGGCCGTATCGACTGTTGCTTTGGACACCTTTCGAGAGTTGACAGCAATGCTGAGGCGCTTTCCTCTCCAATCTGTTGGTCCAGGCATTTCGAGGTCCAAGCCAGCATTGATCGCTTCGGATGTGCTGTATGTGCCGAACCAATCACTCATAACAAGTCCCTTGAACCCCCATTCTTCGCGCAGGATCTCCTTCATCAGTAGAGGATCCTCGCTTACATGAATTCCGTTGATCTTGTTATAGGACGTCATGATCGTCCAGGGGTCTGATCCTCGAAGGGCCAGCTGGAAGGGTAGCATGTGAACTTCTCGGAGGGTGCGCTCGGTCATGACCACGTTGTCCTCGATACTGTTGTCGGACTGGTCGTGAGCTGCATAGTGCTTGACGCTTGTTGCGACGCCCTGCTCTTGAACACCGTTGATGTAATGCGCTCCCAAGGTTCCGCTGAGAAAAGGGTCTTCGCCAAAAGCTTCGAAGCCACGACCGATCAAGGGTGAGCGTTGCAGGCAAAGTGTCGGTGCTAGCAAGACATGAACACCGCGAACCTTGGCTTCTTCACCAAGTAGGCTCCCGATCTTGTGGATGAGTTCAGTGTTGAAGGTAGCGCCCATTCCTGTAGCCGATGGTAGCATTGGACTCGGCATCTAGCGGTCTGTTAGTTCATGCTACCCAGACAGTGAGAGGGTACTCACACGAGTGAACGACCGCCGTCCTCGAATTCCATGAGGGCCATCTGAAGTCTGGCCTGTCAGCTTGGTCGTTTTTTCCATGCTCTACATCTCAGACTTACAATAAGCGCAGGAATTCCATGCTTGTCAAGACCCGTCATACGAAACGATCCCTGGCCCGCCAGAAGCTCCACCTTCTCATCCAGCGTCAAGTTGCTCAACAGAGCTTCAACATCTACAAAATTTGATTCGGGCATTTTGTCTGAGGTTTCCAACAAGTGTATAATAATAATAATAGAAGAGATTCTTCATGGAATTGGGTCGAATGCTGAGTTTTGTTGAATTGGCACTGCTCAGCAGGATTTAGCCGTCGGCTGTTCGGGCCGCTAAAATTACAGGTCCCCTCACGTTGGATTGAGGTATTTGGTCTTTGGTAACATCTTGGCAACACGATCGTCGGGGTGACTGTCAACCTTTATTTTGCTTGGTGGAGACTCCGCTCTGCCTTAACAACCATGACAAAGTCTTTGTAATTGACACTAGTTGCAAAGCTGGGGTAGCTGCATGCTGACAGCTCAGCAGCTGGATCCATGCTTTGAGAATACCAAGTCGAGGGACCATAGATAATCCTAGGAATATTTTCACCTAGTATAACTCACACTGGCTTTTGCCCAATAGTGACCAACGCTCGAAACATGGCACCCTCTTCCTTGACTTCTTTCTCAAACCTCTCAGCCAAGTTCTCATGCATAGAGTCAGGTAGCTGGACACCAAGGGCTTATGCCGTCAGTCAAATTCTCATACACTTTAGAAGCTGAGACTCACCCTTTGCACCTTCAAGGAGACTCGGGATGGTAATCACGAAAGGCTGCCACGATAACTCGGCTGCCTCATCGTCACCCAGCAGCTTGCCCATGGGCAGGTCTACTGAATGGACAGCCACGTTCTCGAGTCCTGCTGCCTCGAATGCGCTCGGCAGTTTGCGAATACAATCGGATCCCATACCCATACCATCGAACATGGCTGCGATGAGGTTGCTCACATCTCTCCACGCTGGACCTACGTTGGGCCGATCTGTTAGATCAAAGTCAAGCTCGTGAACCTGAAGCCAACCTCCGGGGGCAACCGTCGCTGTCTGGAGTCAGTAAGGTGGCCAAGAAAGGCAGAGAGGTGGATATGAACTCTTGCTTACTTACAGGCAAGATGATCAATGGCTTTCTGGTAGCCCACCTTGGCAGCTCCAAGGATGCTGTACCTCATGTGTGTCAAGTCAAATGCTCCGACAAGTTGGTCTCTAGGAAATTCACAAAGGTCATAAACCTCAAAATGAACCCCCCTTTCGGAATCGGGTAGAAAGGCCTCGACAATATCAGCGCCAACGAGCTGAGCAGATGGAGAAACCTGCTTCTTCAGGTCTCGAAGCAAAATTCCTAATATTCCTGTTAGTTAAGTTAATACCTTCGACAGACTTGATGGTACCATCGGCGCACCCGACGTCAAGAATCTTGAGTCCTTCTTCATCTAGGGGAATAGGTGCAAAGACAATCTTGCTGTTAAGGCATCTCTGAACCCAGGCATGCTGTTTCTGAAGCCGCTCTACCTCTCGGTTTATCTCCCAGGGATAGTCAGCTTTATTCTCGGGGCCCATTATGCAAGGGAGATCGAATGATTTGTCGTCTGTGATCGTAGTAGATTGAGCGATACTGAGTGCAGCAGCTTCTGTGAGGAATGAGCTAAATTGCAGGTCTTATATGCGCATGGAACTTGACGTACTACACATTCCCATAGGGCTCTGTCCACTTCTCACCTAGCCAAGCCTCCCTACATATCTCTCCGGACATCAAGAAAGTCTCCGGGTTTCTGGAAAGTCTCCATGAAGCTTTAAAGCGATAACCATGACTAGTGCTTACTGCTGACAACTCTCATAAGCTGGAATTAACCAAGAAGCAGCCAGGGTCCTTTCTTTGATGACTTGATAGAGCTACAGAATCCCTTCCTCTCTCATTTTGGACCTGGGATTCGTCTTGATACGAATCTTGCACAGGTAGGAGCTGAGAATCAAGTGTTGTCAGTGAGTGGCTAATCTCACGTAATTTCAGCGTGTCGTTCGGGGTTTCTGGAGATTTCCGTTGGGGCTCAACCTTGCAACTGCTTACCCTCCCCTTAGAGGACCGGGTGCTAGACTTGAAATACATGCCTGACACGTAAACAGTCAGGGTCTTTCCCAGCGATTGAATTCCCCAGGCTGGGGCTGATCTCATGGATGACGTCTACCGTTAAAGGCTAGAAAGAAATTCATTGATAGCATTTTAGATCAAGGCCAGCGCGTCCAAGTCAGCATCACAAGGTGCATAATACCACGAAAGGATCAAATTCTCGCACTTCCTTGGAAGTAAATCTCAGCGAGAATAGCAACATCACTACGAAGGCTTTACCTGTTTAGTTGACAATATCCTTTCTCACAAAACCATCGCATGATAATTCAACGTTAAATATAGTGGATTTAAGTGGTCATAGCCAAAAGGCAGTTATAAGATATGTTGACATCGCTATATACACTTAAAACAGAACATGCCACACGCGTTTCCAAGCAGGGCCGTTGGCAAGCTGCTCGCGATAAGCATTGATGGTATCCCAATCATGCTCGCGACGACCGGTATCAAGATCAATCTCGCTGACCTTTCTCCATCCCTCTCGCTTCCAGATGTATCCGATGACATAGAAGAGAATGACAACGGGCAGAGCCAGGTATGACTCGAAGAAGCCCTCAGCAGTACCGAGTGATCCATCAAGATTGGTGATGGCAGTGTAGAACTGCGCAATAAGAACGATGACGATGAGGATGAGTCCGAGCCAAGAGCCCCAGACTCCGAAGACGTGCTGGAAGGGGATTTCATCCAAAGTGTGACCGTGGTACTTCCAAGCCTGTCGGAATCGGATATGGCAAAGGCAGATAGAGCCCCAGGTAAACAAAGCAGCCAGACCAGACAAAGCCTGAAGCCAAACGAAGACGGTATTTCCATCACCACTAACACTGATGTATCCAAGAGCACCGATGGCGATAATGGACACAACAGCAGGAAGAGGACGACCAGACTTATCAATGAAAGAGAAGAATCTGGGAGCATAGCCCTGTTGCGCGAGTGCGACAAGAGTTCGGCTACCGCCGTAGACGCAGGAGACACCGATAGACAAGACGGAAACAAGGATGATGACGTTCATGAACGAATCGTATCCCTTCAGATGAGCGTTAGCGGCAGCGATGACGAAAGGAGAGGCACTAGGGTCGTCGTTGCCGGCGTTCAGAAGTCTGGGGTCCTTAGAGCTGACGAGGAAACCGACAAGGAGAAGTCCAACTACGTAGAAGAGAGTGATTCGCCAGAAGACCTGCTTGATGGCACCAGGGAGAGACTTGGCGGGGTTCTTGGCTTCGGCAGCAGCGAGACCGACAAGTTCAGTTCCACTGAAGGAGAAGGCCGCAGTGACGAACACACCTGGTATCCATTAGTTACTGAAGAATTTCGCGGAAAGGGGGGCTTATATCGTACCGCAGAAGCCTCGGAAACCGTGCTGGAAAGCACCTGGGTCATACCAAAGCTTGGCGCCCTGGTAGGTGCTGTACTCTCCATCAGAAGGACCTCCACCGCAAACGAGGACGACAGCGACGATCATGAAGATGACGGTGGCAGAGAGCTTGAGCAATGCAGCCCAGAACTCTTCCTCAGCGTAACCAAGAGTACCAAAGATGTTGACGAGGATAATAACAGCAAGGAATACCTGTAGTATGTCAGTCAACAGGCTCACGATAGCTTCATGGGGGCTTAACTTACGCTGACCCAAATAGCTACGCTAGTATGCGGAGCCCAGTATTGAATGACTGTGCCGCAAACTGTCAATTCGAGAGGAAGAACGAAAGCCCATTGCATGACATAGTTCCAACCCATTGCGAAACCCCAAGAAGGATCAACAAATCGGTTGGCATAGCTGGTGATTTGTTAGCCCACGTCTTGATTGGGGATTGGCAGAACTCACGTATAGAAACCACCAGAGACGGGATACATGACAGCAAGTTCACCGAGAGCATAGACGACGTTGAAGATCATGACACCCATGATCAAGAAACCAATGGTCAATGAACCAGGGCCACCAGTCTGCAGAGCAGAACCGCTACCGACGAAGAAACCAGCACCAATACTGCAAATGAATTAGTACACCGAGTCAATATTAGCGCGCGTTATCATTTAGCAGGGCGGCAATAAGCCGGTGTTGCACGGTGACGACAGAACGAAAATGACTGACCTGCCACCAATAGCGATCATGTTAAGATGACGAGGCTTCATCTCACGCTGTAACTCAGCAGTCCCCTTTGCGTAATCATCATGGGGAGCGAATGAGCCGGGAGTAAGCCCATTGCGCAGCGCCCACGACTGCTTGGGGCCATCTTCGATGGGCTCAGTGGTGCCCTGCTTCTCATCATATCGTGGCGAAGTATCCTGAGCCTCGAGGGCTTCTTGTTTAGGATGGATTTCCGACATGGCGAGATGCTTAGATAAACTTGAATGTCTTGAGAGTCAAAGGACCAGAGGGAATTAGAGACAGCGCGGGCTAATGGCAGATATATACGACTGCTACTGGAGCCAAAAGTGGCAACTCGGGGGGACCATCCCTCACACGGACCTAAATGAAAAGCGGAAGGTGGTTTTTTGGAAGGATGCAGAGAGAGATAGGTACCTAGGAAGGGTACGTAACATGGAGCATTGATTTGATTGTTGGTTTCACTGTTCGAATTGCTGTGGTGATCCGTTTATGGAGACTGGGGGTTGCTCCTCAATCTCACGGATAAAGCGGCACTTTGCTCAGCTGGGGCAAAAGAAGTGGACACTCGAATGAACCAAATCTCAAGCCACCAAAAAAAGGAGCTGGGGGAGAGCAAGGGAAGAGAGGGAAGCTAGCCTATCAACCGTTTGGTCGCGTGCTGACGTAGGGGAAAAGAGTGCTACTGAGCGGAAATTTTAGAGCTGAAGGTTAGGCTGTGGCTTAATCCTGTGCATCCTCGGATCCGAAGATATTGTCGTCGATTGTTCTACAACTACAGGTCCGACGAGGCATGTTTTATCTGGTGTTACATGCGATGCTCTGCAATCTGGATAAGGTGCGCGCAAAGGCTCCTCCCAAGTCTGGGGAAAGTGGCATCTTTTGAGGAATCTATTTGTCATAGATTCAACTTTCTACCCCGGAATATCTCTGCTGGATCTGCGTGCGTGTGAAATTGAGCAGTTGGCAGCAAATGGCGTAGCACCTGTATCATTGGGGCGCGCCCGGAGCCGGGCTAGCCGGAAGGGGCCTCTTATCAAGCCGCCGATCCCGAGGCTAACATACGATGAGCAGTGGCTGTAGGTGGTCTAATTGGGCAGAGACAGTTGGGTTCTATCTGACTGGAGTCTGGAGACTGGAGAAGGGGGATATAAACGGGTCTCGCAGTGGTAGGACCGACTTTGAGTCGTGTCATGGGAGGAGGGATGGGATGCAGTCACTGATAGAGTTTGAGTACTGATCCTCGTTCAAATCTTAGGTGAGAAATACGCACGGTTGGCCCAAGCAAGACAAAAGGACATGCCGGGGTTTAGTTGTGGTGGTGAGTATTTCCAGCACATGAGTTCAATTGTCGTCAATATCAATGAAGTTGAAGAAATTGGAGATATTCCCAATTAAAACCGTGCTTGATCTCTTGGCAGGGCGATAGACGCCTCTGACAGCTTGGCACCCGCCATGTCCATCTTGGCATCTGACCGCGATATTCGAGACAAACACAGGACAGGCATTATCTGGGGAAATCCACCTCGCGCGAGGTATCTACGATCAATGAGGAAGCTGTTACATAAAAACAACGTCTTTAACCTTTGGCATTTGATTTGGCCTCCCGTTTTAAGGGTTCCAAAGCTAATTCCCGTTAAACTCGTCGCAAGCATCTCCACGCGACCGTCTCGTGTCGCAAGCTACCCTAAGTTGGCGGTTTGGAGAGCGCCAATCTTGCTGCACTCAGCGCCCTGCCCCAGTGAACAAACTCCACTGTCTTGTTTTGCTGATCCTCATCACCAAAACGATCAGCGTACTTCATCGCACATCGAATCTTAATGACGATAAGAATTTCTTTAAGCAAGCTCCATCAAACGGCAGAATGACGCAACTGACAAGCTTTATTTTTTGTTAGCTTGCATTAGTTGCAACCCATTCCCTGCCATCGCCTTCACGCTCTGGAATTGGCGGAACAAGTTTCCAGAGAATGACGTCGGTGATCCAACAGTCACGTTCTGTTAGTACACTAACATGTAGCGTCTTATCGACCCGCTAATAGTCTGCCATCTGCTATAGCGCAAACAGCGGGGTAGGCGAGTGTTCCGCGCTCGCGGAATCCGCATTCATTGCATTATCGATATCTCGGCCAGCGGAACAACATCGATCAAAGGCTGTTGGAAATTTCCGTTGGCATCGGACAGTCATCAATCTCTTAATAACAGTGTTTATCTGGACGTGTTGGCAGTATCGTCACTCCGTCCTCGTTGTGTTAACTCTACGCATCCCTTTCGACTTCCGCGTTCACCCTCAGAACGGCCTTCTGAGCCGACAGCTGCCCTTTTCTGCTCAACCGAAAGGCTTCACCAACATCTTCCAGAGTTCCAACTTCTATAACCGGGTTCGCCTCAAGGTCGCCCCTCTCTAGCATCACCGTTACTAGTCGTAGGTACTTCTCCCAGGCACTTCTCTCGTCTGGTGTCTCGAGACCTGTATTGTCAAACACTGTGTATTCCTCACCCAATGCCCTGCCAAAGACAGTAAAGGCCAGCATAGACTCGGCTTTGACATATGGATTGGCTGCGCGAATAGACTCTTTGTCGAGTGGCGAGAGAGCAATCAGCTGAGATCCTGTGCTGTGAGCCAGGCAGCGGGCTACTTTGTCTGGAGAACCTCCATCAACAATGTTATCGAGGGCATATCTCAGTTTCCCCCCAGTAATCTCTTTGACACGTTCAACCCAATCTTCATTGTGGTAGTCGACCGTGACCTCGGCTCCCAGCCGTTTGAGGAGATCATGGTTCCTGGATGAGGCCACTGCAATGACACGAAGACCGCTGAGCTTGCCAAGTTGAATAGCGTACAGGCCAACACTCGTGGAAGCACCATACACCAAAAAGTCCACTCTGTCTTCTTTAGACTGGTAGGGTTCAGGTAGCGACAGGTGCCGATACATGGCTTGCGTGGCAGTCGCAAAAGCAAGTGAGATAGTCGATGCCTGCTGCAAGCTGATGTTGTCGGGTACGGCAAACACGAGTGATGCTTCGATGTTCATGTACTCTGCAAAAGATCCAATGCCTTCGAAGGTTGCGCCATGGACCCAGGCGCCAACTTTCTGGCCGTTCTTCCAGTCAGAACCGTTGGGGTCCTCGACGGTGCCGGCGAAGTCACACCCTGCAATGAGACCCGGTTGTGCTGGTCCATCCAACACATCGCCCTCAACGAGTTTCCAATCACCAGGGTTCAGAGCCGCGTAGTGAATCTTGACAAGAATTTCTCCTTCTCGCGGGCTTGGACGAGGAACTGACTGGACAGACCCGCTTCCTCTGCCATCGGTCACGAAAGCTCGCATTCTAGTCATCTCGTTCACTGTCGAAGGATTCTCTCGCGAATCTCAGATCCCGTTGAGTGGGTGAACGAATGATGTCCTGGTACGACTTATTAAGACCATTGCTATTTGAGCCTCGGTTGGAACAAATTGATAAGCAATCCTGAGACGCAACGTTATGAATCGAACTATGCCTCTTTCCTTTCTGCTAGCCCTTGTATCGCGACCTATCATGTCCGCTGGGATGTTCCAGAAACGGCATCTGGGATCACTATCCTTGTCAGCCAAGACAGCTCACGGAGAGACTCAATGCCGACTTACAAATAACACAAACTAACAGCAGATTCACCGACAGCTTCACCAACAGCAAAACGATATAGCCTTATAACATGGTTCATTAACATCTAGTAGAAATCATCGCTCATTATGCAAGTGTAAGCTGCCTATTAAGACTTTTCCCATAATATGACTTCTCCGCCATCTAGGAATTCCAGCATCACAAAACCCTCGTCCTAATTGCAGAAAGACAGATGAGACACCCAAGATAAAGGAAATCGTAAAGTTCATAATCTACAGACGAGCAGAGAAGCTGGCCTGTGAGGTCTGGCCATATGCGCTCTTCTCGGGCTGGTAAAAGGGTAGAGATGTAACGGTAGCCTTGATGCGCTTGCCGAAGTACTCGATCTCTACCTTGTCGCCCTCGAGAACTTCCTTGGGTAGGTATGCGTAGGCGATGGGCTTGCGGACGCTATACCCGAATGCTGTGCTTGTCACGTAGCCAACGGCACGGCCCTTGACGAACACTGGCTCCTTGCCGAGAATGACAGAGCGGCCATCGTCAATGGTGAGACCGCGAATGCGGCGAGACACCTTCTCACTCGAACGGCCCTTGAGAGCGTTGTAGCCAACGTAGCCATCCTTGCCTGGTTGGAGAGCAAACTCGAGTCCAGCCTCATAGGGGTCGTACTCTGTGGTCATATCGGTACCCCAAGATCGGAAGCCCTTCTCGATACGGAGAGCGTTGAAGGTGCTTCGTCCAGCAGCAATGACTCCGTAAGGCTGACCACCCTGCCAGAGAGCATCCCAGAGTCGCAGACCATTGTCGGCAGTTGTGTAGATCTCCCAGCCTTCTTCACCGATGTATGAGAAGTTGGTAGCAATGACGGGAATGCCAGAGATCTCTGCCTTCTTGACGCTCAGGTAAGGAAGGGCTTGGTCTGAGAAGTCGTCTTTGCTGACAAGCTTGATGAGATCCTTTGCACGGGGACCCCAGACGCCGACGGCGGCAAGGCCACCGGTAATATCACGGACCTGCACTGCTCGGTGAGGGCTGGCCTTGGTTTGAACCTTGGCCTCGCGAGTAAAGTAGTGAAGGTCGACGGGCCCGTTGACTCCAAGATGGAAAAGATCCTCTCCGAGTCGAGCGACGAAGATGTCACTCTTGATACCGCCATGGGTATCCAGGAGTAGGGTGAATGTCACCTTGCCGACCTTCCCAGCAACGTTACCAGTCGTCAAGCGCTGAAGTAGCTCAGCAGCACCAGGACCAGTGATCTCCAGTCGTCGAATAGGTGTCTGATCGTACAAAGCAACAGCAGTTCTCGTCTTCCAGGCCTCAGCCGCCGAAACAGCAGAGTAGTATCGAGAAGACCAAGCATCTCGCTCGACAGGCTTCCAAGCCTCAGGCAAGTCCTTGAGCAGCTTCTCGTTGGCCTCGAAGTGATGAGGGCGTTCCCAGCCACCAGCCTCAAGGAAGTAGGCACCGAGCTCCTGCTGGCGTTGGTGGAAGGGGCTGACGCGGAGGTTGCGGGGTGACTCCTTGGGCTGGAGAGGGTGAAGGATATCGTAGACTTCGACAAACTGTGTAGATGTTGTTTCGGCGACGTAGGCAGGTGAAAGTTGAACTTGCTCGAA